TGGCCGTTAGTTCCTTCCTCAAAAGATGGAAGATTTCGAGCGATACTGTTTCTATTTTTTTTCTCCTTCTGGTAAAGATACTGGTCTGGGGGATCCGTATAGTTTTCAACGGAAGCGATTTCCTTTTCCGCAGGCCTGACCCAGTGACCTGGGGACCCGCGTCGGAGAGACAATGGTGCCTTATCAGTGGCAGGTCCGGGACCAGGTCGGCGCGAGGTCGTCGAGGAAGAGGGCCTGCTGGCTCAATGGACCTTCCCGGAGCTCATCAGCAGCGTCAGCGCGTCGCTTCGAGGTGGACGACGCACCTGACGGAGACGGGGTGAGTGGTCGGTCAAAGGCACCGCGCTGTCTTTACTTGTCCTCGAGCACAGGGACCAGGAACTGCGATAAGTAACGGTCTGAAAGTGCTGGTCTGTGGTTGTTGGCCACCAGCCACCAGATGTTACGAATGCTACATTTTGGCATTCTTATAGACACTGCCAACTGCCAGGCCCTTTTTTTGAATGCCAAAATTTTCTTTTAAAAAAGCCAAAGCTAGGTTACCGAAAAAATTACAAAATTTAGCCTCTTAATCTTTTTTGACAATTTGTCATTCAAGGGCCCAAAGCACGCTCCACGGTTCATGCATTACCATACATATTCTCGCATATTATGCACCCATAGTCACAGCCTTACAGCTCAATTTCGCCTACTTCGCACAATATCATGTTGCTTCTGTATTAGCTGTTGCAGCCACTCTGTAAGTGCGACTAATGCTAACATGAAACGCCTTCAATGGCATTCTTTGTTTTAAGACGCAATGGGATAATGTTAAGAAGTGGGGGATTTGGGACACTATTCTATATATAACGCCTAACACACAGGACTTTCAAGCTTATGAAGGGAGAAGGGAGAGAGAGAAAGAGAGAGGGGGGGGGGCGACCGACCCACCCGACCAGCCCCAGGGGAGATGATCCCTAAGAACAACGAGTGGATGATGACCGCTCGACTTATTGTTCGCTGCAGATCGGCCTGCTGCAGCGCCTTCTGGGAAGTCCAGCAGCAGCTCGGTCCAGCAGCTCGGAATCGCTCGCAGTAGCGGTCAGCTGAGGACAAGCGAGTTGGGAGGGGGGGGGGGGGATCTGTTGTCCTGCAAGTCGGTGCCGCCCTTTGAAGCAGATGAACAAGGGAGGATTGGGGGAGGGAGGACTCTGGCTGCTGCCTCACCTGTGCAGCGGGCGGACGGCCCCAGACTGCTTGGCGCGGTGGCCCTCGTATGTATTAGGGGGCGTACACAAATGATGAACTTTTGGCTAACACGCCACGTTTCCATTATCTCCGATTATCTCGCTTGTTGCTCTCACTGTTTCAAAACTTCACTAAGGGGTCGTAGAATTAAAAAGAGTGCCCGCTCGATGATGAAAAAAAGTTTTGCCCTTTGCTGAATCTCTACGAATCGAGGTTGGACACGACGGAAATCGTGGTATCTTTGGTGGTATTTGGTATCTTCCTTTGATGGTTGCAAGGACTCATTTTGAGTCATGTACACAAACATCGCTCTAACAGAGCGATGAAGACATATAGGTACGTCACGGGGCAAGACAAATGACTAACTTTTACAGTGCAGGCAGTACCATTGAGTACCGACACCAACTCCCTGCCTGACCGCACGGATCCGCAATTCTCCTGGCGCACCCGAGAGGCCCCACCAAGCCGCGCGTCGCTTCGTTGTCAAACGAACTCCCTAACAAGGTGGCCCCTCTGGTTTAGGCCCCCGCGGGGGCTATTTCGGGACGGCCAGCCATGGTCACTCGGACGCGCTGTGTGGTGCAGCCACTGCCGCCGTAGCTGCTGCAGCTGCCCTTCTTCAGTGATATAGGCTTCGGCAGTGATGGCACAAGCACCATTTCGCTGAAAAGAAAACAAATTAGGGGGTTGTATGCTACGGAATGCCATCAAGTGTCTGCTCGACACCCCGTGCCTTCCGGACTTATTAAAACTTCTGGGACAGCCGGTCCAACCGGGCTACACTCAGCTCCCCCGCAGGGAGGCCAGGCGGAGTGGAAGATGAAAAATTCGGAAGCCGCAGCGCGCGAGGCGCGCGCGCGAGCGACTGACCGTCCTAAAGGGGGCCGCGTTTGACGGTCATTGGTAATGACGCCTCCCCACCTCCAAGAGGAGCAGCAGAGGGACAGAGAAAGAGGTGGGTAAAAAAGGAAGACAAAGGAGTTGCGCCGTGTATACCTGTCAAATGGTCTCACCGTCAGGGGAAAAGTTTAAAAGAAAATAAAAACAGCGAGTCCGGACCGTGCCTTCTGCTAATCCATACCAATCTTTATGGTCCTATCGCGCGTATTTCATCCGCCTCCCTGCAGAGGCAGCACCTTCGCTGGAGGTAGTGTACCCCAGGTGTGCCCACTGTAAAAAGAAATTCACAGAATGGAAAACCTCCGTTGGTTTTCGGTCAAATGACGAACCGTCCGATTAAAAATTGATCTTATTATTTCGTACTTCTCCCCATGTTTTGTCACACAGTGACGTTTACGCTTTCGTTGTGTATCCTGGACATGCGGCTGTCGACTAGAAACATAAGAAGGCCACATTTTATAATTTTTTAAGGCCAAGAAGAAGCTTTTGTAGAATTCTAAAATTGACCCACTTTGAAGAGGTTTTTGTCAGCACGATACGCGCACGAGCGAGGGCTGCGATTGTTTCCTACGAATGCGGCTGCTGGAACTTGATAAATGCCCCCTTTTTCTTCATTTACGCCGTGACGCTGTGGAACGCTGGGCCTAACGCTCCTAAAACAGAGCCGGGCGCGGGCGGGGGGCGCGGCGCTCAGCTTTGCGTGAAATCGTGCGGGGGGCCCAAAGTGTGGATGATTATGCAAGAATGCGGAAGGGAAGAGAAGGAGGAGGGCTTTGGGCAGCTGAGGCCGAGACCTGCTGTCCTTTTTCTTTGTCCCCCAAAGGTTTTGGAGCGAAATCAGATTTTTTTTCCGATAAACATTGGTCCAGCCTTCTATTAAATTGACGTAAACATACAACGGCAGTGTGTTTGTTGGGAAAAGAGGGGGGGGGGCGGTGATTGCTTTCAATTCAAACACTCCTTCAGTGCGCGATACACGCGAGGACCAGATTGTCAATCTCCATTCCCTTTGTCACTGCGGTCGCGAACACGCTGCGTTCATGTTCATGATGATCTCTACTCTGTATTCATCAGTATTCCGTACCCATCTGTACTCTGTACTCATCAGTCCGAGTCCAATTCACAAAAATACCCTACTGTGAGAGGAAGTGTATACAGAAGCCTACAACCACCTAACCGACAGTTGTTCTGGTCGTCTCGAATTACGAATGCGGTATTAAAATGTATGCCTCTGTCCGTTGGCGGCCTTTGGAAGGTCAGAGTATGACGAGTGTAGATGATAGTTGTGCCCTGCTCGGTTGTGCCACGTTGGGCCCATCACGTGTCATCTCTTACGCAGAGAGAGCGAGAGAGAGTGTGAGAGAGAGAGAGAGAGAGAGCGAGAGAGATGACGTGTTCGTTGCCATGTAAATCCGATCCGTGTGTTGCTGGAAGGTGTCTGACGACGGCCACCCGCTCTTCCCCCTCCCCCTCTCTCTGTCTCTTTCTGGCTCACTCTCTCTCTCTCTTTCTCTCTACCCCACGCCTCGACTTGCGCCCCAGCAGAGCGACCATGCTTGGGATTCCTTCCCCCCCCCC